CCCCCCCCCTCTCTCTCTCTCTCTCTCTCTCTCTATATATATATATATATATATATATATATATATATATATATATATATTCATATCTTGAGCTCATATCGCATAGCATATCGAACTCAGCTGGATTCTTCGAGGCCATGCGAGCTGCTGCTTGCATGTCCATGTTGGAGTCAACGTAGACTCGGAGGATACAAAGTGATGCCGAGCTACGCAAATAAGCAAAAGGAGGATATTTTGGTTTCTCTATCAGCACAATAACTGTTTTGATAATGGATGTTCTATGCTTTATCTGCGCTTTTTATCCATACCAACGTACCACTGGCAAGCGAATTCTATTAACCATATTTTATTCGCTTTTGAGAATTGAAAAATATCATTTTTAAAGGCACGTTGTGTACTTTGACGATTAAAGTGTATGATTATGTGAATCGATTGTCTTCAATTGTTGAGAAATTGGAGAGATTTAAAGGCAACGATACTGTTTAATTATTCGATTAAAATATCGAAGCCGATAATTGCGAGCGATGTGTCGTTAGTAATTGAAAGGTTTGTTTTATTCGAACATAGTTGTTTAAAAAACAAGTGCTGGAAGTAATGGTAAAAAAAAAAAAAAAAAAAATAAATAAATACTCATAATTCTTTATAGCATATATGTTTTCATTGCTTTATTGCTTTAATATGCAAGCTTCTCAAAAGCTTAAAGAAGATTCACGTTAAAGCCGTGATTTATCTAGAACTAAAATTTTACTTTCAAAATGATGAACACACACTGTCCTTCCAAAACCCTACAAAATATTTAATCGCAAATGACATAAAATTTTACAACATATTATAATACAAATCTCTCATAATTATCTTCTTCTTCTTCTTCTTGATGAAATATTCATCTTGATAGGGTCTCGTACTGCCATGTACGATTAGAATTTAATAATAAAAAATATCAAGTTATATATCGACACGAGCGTAATACATAAATTAGACGCTCTATTTTGTAATAAGAAACGCATGAAAATTTCACGCACAATGTCCATTACGTTACTTACCTCGCACAATGCTTACCTCGATTATTAAATCGTCGGGTGGCATACGGTCATTGGCTCCAAGCATAAGACAGCGACCATTTGCGCGAATCGCACGTAGCTTGGCATGTAGCAAGTTTATATTGACCGCGGAAGCTCCACAGAATAGATTAAGAAACACATTTCATTAATAATACGACAAATAGACTTTTGAAACAGTACACTTTAGGGCAAGTCTGGGCTTTCGGCGTCACTCAGTCCTATTTAGGTCAGGAATGCTTTTAATCGCCGGGTATGAGTAATCAGATCTCCATAAATCAGGATCTGATCCACATGACTGGATCATTTAAATAAATTGAAGTGCGGCAGAGGCATCTCTGCAACTGTCTTGTTGCAAGCCGAGCGCGATGCGGCTCTCGATCCTCGCTCGAGCATGACGGAAAATCAGGTAGTGGCGACGGTGACGGCGAATGGAGCCGCTGACCAACTAAGGATAATGTACTACTATCGCCTTTGTAATCGATAGATCTGATCCGGCTGACCCGTGTCACGTGACCTACGTCCAATACATTTTATTGGCTTTATTGCAGAAGACTGTTGTTTATCCCCGGGAAATTGTCGCGCGAATAAACTGTGAATGTGTGTGAGAGCAGCGCAGCTGGCCTTTACCATCGCGCTCACGCGTGGTTAAGGTCGGTCTGGCGTGTCTTAAGGTCGGTATGCCTATATTTGGTGGGGTGGTTGATATGTCTTGCAAGAGACAATCCTGAAGACTATACCGATTAATTTTCAAGTGAGATTACATTTGTCAGGATATATAATTAACGAATTTAGATAATAACGAATTCAGATTATCAATTAAGCAATTTTTGGGCCCATTGTTCCTTACATTTGACAATGCATGATCTTTCTAAGAGATACGACTTTTATAAAAAAATTTCACTTCCACCTCATTGTCACTTTAACGTAATAAATATTATGCTATGGTATAATAAATTATGATTTCTATGGGAACTTTTGCTAATGCGAGGCAGTGGCCGTATAATACGGATGTAAAAACTTTTGCGCAAAGTTATTTTCTTACTGCCTCCTCTTGGAAATGCTCCCTACGAGTAGGAAAACTTATGTATCAAGACTCAAAGTCCCAAGTTGCTTGCTTGCTCGTGCTAACTGTGAGAATACGTCTTGTGCGATTCGAAACGATGTTCCATTGCATTGTAGGGGATGCGCTTAAATATAAACCAGGAGAGCGCGAAAATTGGCAACTCCATGACTGTGGAGAATCGTGGTTGGTTAGGAGGCGAGCCAAGAAATGCGTCAGATGTTAGACATTCGTAGCCAAAGTGTAGGTCAACCCCAATAATGATCATACGAGTCGTAGGATTAAAAAGGCGGGAAAAGTCAGTTGTGCGAGTGAAAGCTCGATTACGGATATATAATGAGCGTCAATGACTGTGCAGGGGTGCAGTGAATTTGTAACGAAGTTTATCGGAGGCTTCGCGCAAGAAGACCGCCGAAAGACGGAGGACCGGGGACTCGTTTCGCCGCTGCTGTCGCTGCTGTAATTGTCTGGGGAATCCGGGGGTTCCTCCGGAAGTAGGGAGATCGATTCGGGTGACGCACGCGCACTGCGACGCGCCACGTGCTGTTACAACTGCAGCAGCAGCAGCAGCAGCAGCAGCAGCAAATTATTCGCGCATTTAGTCGTGAGACGCCAGTGTATTTGTGATATTTTCGCATATTTGCAATCTTATTTACATAGTTGCATACGAGCGATTAATTTTGACGTGATTTTCAACTTTTATCTCATTGTTAGCCCGTGAGAAATATTATCCTAATCGTCCCCTGCACTTTTCCATTTAACAAGCATTTGTTGCTTAAAATCATGAATACAAAGCTTTATAATTAGTATCAACTAATTATTATTGCTAAGGACACTATCATATCCATGATGATAAATTGTGCCTATACACATAAAGTGCATAAGAAAATAGGAAAAAAGAATAATTGCTTAGGTTGAAAAATTAATCTTGCCATTCTGTTGTCAATAGTCGATCGATACTATTACTGCAGCTAGTATTCTCATGATTAAATTTTTAAAGAAACGGGTAACGAGTGCTTATTATCATACACATGTACTGCATATAAATTTCCTTTGAAAAATATATTGACATTGTGTTGCAATATTAAAACACCATAATAGGAAGAAAAAAAACGTATAAAATTTTATTTTAAAGAGAAGGCGAAGATTCGTACATAATATTAACGTCATTTAAATATTTGTAAGCTTTACAGCAGAGTCTTATTAGAAATAAAAAATCAATATAATTTGTCATAATGTAGAATGGAAATTTAAAATTAATGGAATATGACGTGTTAGAAATCATGTACGTGCTCGAAGGTTGAATCTGACATGCACGCAAATCTATAATTGCGTGTAGATGAGTGGCAAAGCAAATACGAATATGGTTTTTGAGAAAATAGATTTAACAAAAATATAAATTTCCTTCTATATTAGTGACATTATTTATTATTCTTAGTCTGGATAGTATTTTTAATTTATTCTGAAAATACCTCGCTGCATAATTCTACAGTGTTCTACTATTTTCAGTCGAATGAATTTTTTAAGGGAATGCGCACGCTAAACATAATTGAAATGCTTCAAAAGTTTTTTGAATATTTATAAAAATATCATCTTTTATGTAAAATAATTGATTATTTTACGATGTTTTATTACAGAATTAAAAAAAAGAAAAAAGAAAAAAGAAAAACAGATAAAACGAAAGAAGAGAAAACAAGAGAAAACAAGTACGTTGTTTCCTATTGATTATAATGTAAAATTAGACTTTAATATAAAATTAAATGTGATTTATGTAAAGTAAAAAGAAATTTTATTAATGCCAAATCTACGTTCTATTAATGTTAATATATGCCAGTGTACATTTCTACTTGTTGGAAGCTATTCCAATAAATATGAATATTGTCGTATAAACAAAAAATACAATTGACCACACTGCCCGTTAATTCCTGCAATTTTATTGAAAATTGCAATCGTAAGAAGTTTACATTAATGTCAGTCTATTTACAAAAGTAAACATGGGGGCCTGGAGTGAGATGCAAATTTTAATTATATTGAATTTACCAGGCGGTAAGAAATACAATAAAATTTCCCTTATAAAGCAAACTCATAAATAATATTTTGCATTTATCCTTTTGCAGTCATCGCATATTTCGCCACGCTAAGGATAGAAATGCTGTTAATAAAAATAAAAATAGTCGAAGGATTTATTTAAGCTTGAAATAGATGCAGCAAGCTTGTTAGTTGGCTTTTGTTACATCTGAATGCTCTAATAAAGTTACTATTCCTGTTTTCAAAACAAAGTTACGTTGCATAATTCCATCTAATTTGTGCTATTATCGGAAGTCGTATGCGCGGGACACAAATGTACGTTTACTTAGATATCTCCAATACCATTTGAAGCGTCGTTTAGCCCTAGTGCACGTGCGCACTCTCGCGCCTTAGCTCCCCGCCCCCTTCCCCCATCCTATTCCTCCTCTCTTTCATTATTTGCGTACAACTATGCGCGAAATCACGCGAGTGACGTAATAGCCGGGGGTATTTAAGTCGTCGGGGTCGTAATAAACATCGCCGCTGTTTTAGAAAACAAACCCGAGGACTTTTTCACTGAAGAAGCTGACATTAAAAGAATTACAATGATCGCGTATCTTGTTCTGCAAATAATATATTGAATTATTAAGCTTATTTACGGGATTGATTGTCGAGCATTGGCGAATATAAATATATTTATTCGACAGCCCTTTATAAGATAATCCATACGGTAAAAGAGACGATAATTCAAATAATCGGAAACAATGGAGAACATTAACAATGTTTAATATGAAATAAATATAATATTGGCACTGTTTATAAACAATTTTAGTAAAACAATATTGTACTTGGGATAGTGTATTTAAGGCATTCAAGAAATAATTATTTAGTCGAATAAATGACTTTACAAAAGCACTTTGTTTCACTTGACTCGAGGACAATAGACGCGCTATTAAAGTTTATTAACAACAAAAAACACGAGCTCATGTGTACTTAAGCAATCAATAGCACAAATACACCTTGTTATATAATATCATTGTATAGAATATTAATTGCTATTAGCGATACGGGGGAGGGGTTGGAAGGAATTTAATTCAATGCTTCATTCGATGAACTAATCGAGCTACCTTTAAAAATATTGTATGTATTAAATGTAAAGTTGGCTGATGAATCGATACTACGATCATGATCGTGATTCCAGCGGTTAGAGAGAGTAAGAGAGAGGGGGAGAGAGAGAGAGAGAGAGAGAGAGCGAGAGAGAGAGAGAGAGAGAGATGCGCACGAGCATCACTCGCTATTCCTGCCCCGGCGAAAATATGCCCATTAATCGAAAATCTATCTTCTCTCTCAACAGGCGCAGCGAACTGCTGGGCTGCATGACTCTGCCGCTGCCACTTTCTCAGGATAAGGTGAGTTTTTTCGACCACTTTCCCTCTTGCCTCCCCACCTACCCAATCCCCCTCCACACACATCGTCCGAGGCCCTCAATCGCATGATAAACGACCGCAGCCACCCTCGCGTGCACGCCAAACGAGTGCCGAGTTCACGACGACCTTCAGCTATTTCGGGAACGCGTTCAACGAAGGAACTCGTGTGTATGATATCCTGTGTAACTGAGTCAGGATTACGAGGTTCGTGGGTGATGTATCGAGAGTGTGGCCCTTGGATTCATCTGTCTTAACCGCGAGAGAAATGAGATGAATGGCTGAAATCGATTCTCCATAATTTTCACTTGCTTTGTGTGCGTGTGTTTTTACGCAAGAATACAGCATTTCATATTTCGTTTACGACAGTACTCATACTTATGTAAATTTCAAGTGCACTCGTGCGAATGGAATTGGCATTATCGCCACGGACTGGAACTTTACTCGCAATAATATCAAATTATAAATAGCACTTGGCCTCATGGCATTTCGTAGACTCACGAGCAATAAATATTCCCTAATTATCCGAGGTAAAAATGAGTGAGCGAACGGTCTGTTCGCCCCACTGGACAATTAATTAAAATAATACATTACGATGCTGCATCGCTGCACTATAAGTGTGATAGCTCCTATTCACGTACCAGTGCACTTGCCGCTCTTACTATTATAATCCGTTTAAGAGACTGTAATAATGGGTGTGAGATAACGATTAGGTAACTGGATTACAATTAATAGGAAAGCGAATGGTCGTGTCGGCGATCGCTTATGAGCAATCGTTGCAAATCGCGTGCGTACGTTATTAGCGAAATGCTCTCGGGCGCCGCCGTTCTTCCCTTTCCCCTCCCGTGTCACCTCGTCGTCAAACCCCCCACCCCCCACCCCCCACCCCGTCAGTCCGGCTCGTTATATTTCAAGTGCACGCGGAATCCATCGTAAGACTTCGTCCGTCAAGGTCACGGCTAAGTGGATTTCCGAGCTTGTTCGGGGGTAAGTTCCGCACGAGTCGGTATTCGGCCGCCACTTGATGTAGAACCAGCCAAGCGATCGACGGCTCCCGGGTACTTACTTCCTTTCGCATCCTCGGCGAGATGATAATCGTTGCGATTTACTGTGTGGCGTTCCTCGTCGCGGGCGTGCTACTCAAGATCTTCATGATATTTTGAGACTATGCGGGTGGCCTAGGCGGCCTAGGCGGGTGGACGTTTTTTCATCGGCGCGAGTGATGGAGCTCCGGCAATAATCATTACCTACTCGCTTGCGCCATGTGAGCTCGACTCGAATATTGTGCGGTGATATCATCAATTTGTTCAGACTGTTAATCCGTTAATCCGTTAATCCGTTAATCCGTTAATTCGTTAATTCGTTAATTCGTTAATCCGTTGATACATCGGTGAGCGTGCATCGAGTGCTCAATTATACAATAGTTTCTTTTCTTTCGACGACGCTTCTTCTGCCTTGGATCGCGTGGCATTGGACGGACTAGACAGACGTATGATATTATTATTCATCCGATCGATTACACTCTTGGATTTATCCCGCCTCTCTATTAATACATGTCTTGTTCAATGTTAGTACTTGAAACGTTAATTTACAAAATTATCCAAGCACAAGACTTTTTCGGACCGAATAATCGATGATAAGCTACTTTTACTCGATCGAATAATTGATCGAAGTGCATCGAAGTGAAACAACTTTAGTTCGACAATAAGAGAAAGATCGGTATTAAGGTAAAGGCGAAGGAACGGTAAAGACTTATACACGAGATATAATTTTCGCGAAAAGCTTGGAAGTAGAAAAGTTAATTAAAGTCGTGTATCGGTGAGCCAGACGTTGATGTCGCGCGGACGTAACGGGCAAATCGAATTTTGCGGTATAAGACACGATCCTATCGACTTTCGTCGTATCGTGCCGTACTAACAGCACTTACCGAAAGTTACCCAAGGAAGGTCCAATGTCGATTACCGTAACCGGTAAAAAAAAAAGAAAAAAAAATGCCATCGAGTGTCGAGAGAAAAAACTCACGAGAAAGTCCCGCGATCGAGGGTATAGAGGCTGTCTAAGGATAAACTTGGACTAAGCGCATCGTTGACCTCTGTCGACCAGGAAGCATCATGGCACCCGCTGGATGCAGGCTCCGGCCGAAATACGAGTGCAGCCCAGGAGGTGGGGGCCGGGGGCCGAGGTTCGGTCGCCTCGCCACCCCTCTCCAAGGACACCGGCGACGAGGCTCCAGATAACAACAATAGCGCCGGTGGTGACGAGCTCGCCTACCTACGTCACCTCGAGCTCGAGCCCCTCGACCCGCTCACGGGGCTACCGCTCCACCCGGGATTTACGGCGAGAGGCGGTAGGACGCCCTGCACCGTCACCAGGAGGCTCGCTAGACCCGCCGCTAATGCTAATCAGGTATGATGTCCATCGAGTTTGCAGCATAAAATCTTGCTGTCCCTTTACTTTAAGAAACTATATTTAACGAGCATTGATTAAAATCTTGGTGGCGTGGATGATATAGAGGGGGTTGGGATTGATATTGCAGCAGAGGGGGAGTAAATAATTAAAAATGCCAGGATTTTTAAAGCGAATATCTCATTGGATAAACGTAATAAGGACGATATTAGTAAAATGATCGATTAGCTCGAAGGCTGAGGAGCCGTGTGAGCCAATAATGCCCAAGGACCTTCGTTTTTGCCAAAATCTAGTCATTATCATTTATCATGGAAGGCCAACGCTGCGCGTGCCAAGAAAGTTTTCATTAATCTCTCAGCTCGATCGTAGAACGCAGTCCCGAGCTGTCAAGCGCATCGGGGGTGGGGGAGGAACCGAGATCCAAGAGTTTCCGAGCGAGGATTAAACCGAGTGTGGTGATTGTCAACAGGTGCCGTGGGGCTTCTCGCTCTCATGGGGCAGACCGCCGCGAGTGGAGCGGGTCGATCCCGTGAGCCCGGCGGAGCGTTCGGGCCTGAGGCCGGGCGACTACGTCGTCTTTGTCGAGTCGACGAACGTGGTGACGCAGCCACGCGAGGATGTACTCGAGCTCATCCAGGCAGCGACGTGCCAGCTCGTCCTGGAGGTCTACCGGCGTAGCGGCCAGGGACAGAACCCGGGTACGGGCGCCGTCGCGGCACCTAGCCTACGTCGACCGAGCTCCATCAACTCGACGAGCCTCCAGTCGTCCCAGCACCGAGCCATCGCTTTCACCGCCGAGGTCGGTACCGGAGTACTCGTCTGATGTCCGCCGTCTCTCACGATCGAGGCGACCTATAGGCTAGGACCGCCGTACCTTTGTCCGGCTGCGAGTCCTCGGGACGAAGGTCCTGGGGCGGCGGCTCGTTTCCTTCTTCGCGAAATACACTATCTGGAGTTGGGACTTGCGAGTCCCACGGAATATAAACTCGGTGGAATATAAATTCGTTAGATTCGCGCGCGATCGGAGGTCAATCTTGGGCTTCATATAGTAACTAGGCGTCTATTCTGGCGATTAGTGCTGATTGTGGAGTACTCATTACCATTTTCTTTTGCTTTTCTTAATTTACATGTTTATTATCAATCATTCTATGCTTCATTTGTTTTATTTTTCGTAAAATTCATGATTACATCAATTGCATTTTAAATTTTCACCGAGTGGAAATTCCATATACTCGTAAGACCCGGGACACATGGTTCATTCGAATAATAATACATTTCGTCATTTATTGTAGAAACATTATTATTTATTTGCGAATTTGTTTGATCAGCTTCCAAGATCATAGCGATTTCTATCAACTACATTTACCCCTCAGCATGACACGTTACGAAAGCTCGCATTCAAAATCAAGTTTCCGCATCCAATATTGAGCACATTTTATTAATAGACGCAGATGGTTGAACGTACTTTCCATATTATAAATATACCTTTCGTTTTCTAAACGGTTGAATTGTTAAACGAAGAAAATTTATTAAGACTATCCTAGTAGTAAATTCGTACTTATGTACAGTTTTTTTTTATTTTTTTTTTTCTTTTTTTTATTTTTTTATTTTTTTTTTTTTTTTTTTTTCGTTCACGATCCTCTGTTATAACGAACTTAATTACATCTACACATGTAGAAAAATATATTTGCTTTAATCGTATAATGCGTAGCTAGTCGTTATTTTTTATGAAAAAGCATTTGTTCAAAAGCTATTGTTGTGAGTATGTAACGTCAACATTAATTAATAAAAATATTTCAATATATAATTAAGCTGAGGCTTGCGCATCATAATGGTTACTATTTTCGCATAGTTTGCTTTGATTGAGGCTATATTTGAGTCAGACGTTGAGTCAGTTACTATATTTTTAGTGAAAGTAGCATGTACACTTTTTGTACAAATGGCAGCTGTTTAGTCTTACATTGTACATTACGCTTTCTATTTTTTTCCTATATATATATATTTTTTTTTTTCTTTTTTTTTTTTTGTAATGTAATTTAGATTTAGATGTAATGTTTGTTCAATTCAATTTCTTAGTAATGAAATTATTTTATGTTAGACGTTGTGTTATATAAACAAAAGTCGAGAAGGAAAAAGTTTTTATATATGCGTGTATGCATCTATATGTATATGCATATGCATATGTATGTATATATATATGTATGTATGTATGTATGTATATATATATATATATTGAAAAACGTATTGTAAATGCGTTTTGAATTTCGTAATGTCGGGCATTCGATCAGAAAGCTACGTAATTTGCTCGAAAATGTCGCTTATAAACGAATCAAGTGCGTGTACATATTGGTAAATTAAAATAATCTTATAATGAGAATAGGGGAATTATTTATGTTGAAAAAAATATTCGTATTGCAAATACGACACTGAACTGATTTTTGAGAATAAGAATATTTCATAGATGAATATTGTCAGTATAATCTACTTCGCAATTGTAAATATACACGTGGACGACATGCAATTCGTTGATAATGATTTCCTTGAAATGAAATGAAAAGACCAAGTAAATACCAATGATTGCTAGAATGAGGCTTCACTGTGTTACGTAAAAAAGTCCACCTTCATCCCTTTGTATTAATTCCAACTAACATTCATCACCAACTGCCATTGTCGATTTATCCCAACACTCCAACACACCTACGAATCCCGTGCTCGTCTTGTATTAAACCAGAGCTTATTACTATTAACTATTAGCTTATTAATTAGTTAAATAATTGATTATTTTATTATTATTATTTTTATTTAGTTATTTTAATTATTATTTTGCCTTACGAAGTTATATAATTTATGCGTTTTTATGTTACGTTATGTATTTGCCTACTGAACCTCGGTGTATAATACGATTTATGCGATAACTGTGTAATTGTGCGTGTAATGTTTGTATACATAAATGTATAGATTACAGATTGCATTATTGCACACTGTAAGCTCAACTATTTTGTTGACAACAAATTTTTGTTTTTAATTTAAAACATTGTTATTGTTATTATTTTATTTAACCCACTTATTTTCCATTCACACACTATCCATCATCATTCAATGTTTTACAGCTACTGATATATATGATTAGGGAAAGTTCATTAGTACCAATGCTGATTACAAAGAGTAAATAATATTTTAAATTCGAAATATTTAAATTAATAATACTCTCGTATGTCAAAGTTGCAAAGTTGCAAAGAACGATATTCATACGAGTTAATTTCATCATTCATCGTTTACATGGTAGAATTCGTAACCGTTATATTTCTTTTAATTTACATGAATTTTCGATTTTCCGATAATTTACGTTTACTCCACATTTAATATATAATTTTTCTTTTTTTTCTTTTCGATATTTATCATAAATTTCACTAATATTCTATATTAATATTAACAGTACGACTAGTATTAAAAGTAATTTATTCGAATGTACCATTAAAATATTCTAAAAATTCAACTAACAATTTCCACGTGTGGTGAATACTTGTAAATATGGTGAATTGAAATGTGAAAGATAAAAAAATATATCGAAAAATTTTAGGTTACAAAAAAAGAAAATTCCATTTATTATTAACGATCAGCTTACAAGAATAAAGACGCTGGTATAAACTGGCAATAAACGGGCAATTTAAACAAATTTTCTTTTCTTCTTAAAATGAAAGTTTCATCGTAAAATAAAAGCAAGTCCACCGTTAACGCGCTTTTAGAAAAATTATTTAACAGTTTAACATCAATACGTTCTGAAATTAATTCCCGCAACGCGTATCCTCGATTTATTTCACAATACAGCCAAGGTCATGATTAATAATAAAAATGTATTCAAAGTAATTATGAAATTGCACGGCATTGCTCATTGCCAGAACTCTTAAAAGTTTATGGTAATAATTAATCGCTCGACAGAGGCTTCGCCTCGCGAAACTATAACCTCGCCAACGCCTTAAATTTCCCATTAATAAACTCTCGTCCACATTTACCATATGTTCATCCATACGCAACTCAAAGACGGAAAGTCCCCTATACGATCATTCCAGTCACAAACCCATGAATTTCAAATCGCTGCGGCCACTCAGCCAGACATCGAGCAACGAGCAATTAGCCTTAGCCGACCCTCGGAGCGCGAAGCCACAACAAATCCCCTGCCGCCCGTTATCAGTCGAGGTAAACATGAACGAAAAACGCAGGCCTTCCCCAACCTGGCGGTTGACGCGACGCCGGAGGAGGAGCTGATCGTACGGGAGGCGCGCTATTGGGCTTGCATGAGGAGTGGCCAAAAGCGCTTCTCCGGGCCGTTAGGTGAGCGCCGAGACGTCCTCTCGGCCACCGACCACATGATCCTCTTCCAGAACCTCGACGAGCTTATTAAGCTCTCGGAAGAGGTCCGCGAGGAGGGCGGTATACCCGAGAGCTACCTGAACCGGATACCCCGCATCATCGCTGCCTACCGTAGGTATTTTAGCGGATTGCAGCGCGCCTGTTGCCTCCTAGTGGCTCTGCGCAAGAACGCGGCCTTTGCGAAAATCGTATGCGAGCCGGCCGTACCCAGGAGGCGGAGACCCGACCTCACTGGCCTGCTCCTGCAGCCCCTTGAGCACTACAGGTAAGATTGCGGGATGGGTTATAAAGAGGTGGTCGACGAGCTCGGGAGCTTTCTCGAAAGTGACCGTAAGATACTTCGCGAGCACGCAGTGTTCACGGTGATGCTTGCATTTGTCGTTCCTGGAGCACCGACTCTTCGTCGCAGCCGTATGCGAGGAGCGCAAATTTACGAGGCAGTTATTTGCTCGATAATAATAATAATAATAATAATAATGATGATGATGATGATGATGATGATGATGATGATGATGATGATGATGATAATGATGATGATGATAATAATAATAATAATAATAATAATAATAATAATAATAACTCGCTCGTGATATTCAATAATGACAACGAAGTTAAGTAAATTTAGCTAAATATATTCCCATTATTGTTTTATTTGTAAATATGTCGTTTAAAACGAGATGCAATATTATATTCATTTTCATAATGAAATTAACTAATTACGCAGTAGTAATTTTACGAATATAATAAAGAATTTTTAATCCAAACCAACTTAACTTACTGCGTTAAGAGAGCAAGTGAGTGAGAGAGACAGAGAGAGAGAGAGAGAGAGAGAGAGAATTGGTATTATTTTTTAATAAATCAAATTTTATAATAATAATACGATATTTATATGAAAAAAATGTCTATGCTTCACGACATCTATTCTTTGTATAGTCAAGTATCAATTTCTTCGATTAATATATCACAATATAAAATTTCAATGAGAAATGTTTAAATACGATATTCAATGCTCAATTCAAAGAAATTATTCCTATGTTGGCGATAATGCATTTAATAAATTCTCATATTCATAAATGAATTAATTTCCAATATTCAATTTAAATTAATAACATCCCCTACCACTTGCAACTAATATAATTATTATCCATATTGTATTTGTAATACTTTACCAATGTTTAGTAAATAAATGGATAAATGAATATAAAGATAAATTTGTTGAAATTCCAATAAATTCCATATATACTCTATTTACATTGAGAAGAAACGTAAAAACATTATTGTTTAAATAATTTGACATTTTACATACTTAACAAACGGATAATGAATTTATTCCGTTATTTCAAATAAATGAATTACCTAATATTCATTAAAAACATATTTATCTAAAATGTTTATATTAATAAGCCTTTTATAAATGTTATTATTCTTAAATTGTTGATTGAAATATTAAATTATTTGACTATTCCATAATTCTTAAAGTTGAATTTGATTGATTATGAATTTAATATGACAGATGATGGCGTGTAAGTGAATTTCTTATTTTAATAACGGATTTTAAAAGTAAACTAATACTAAAAATAAAAACAAATAAATACGGTTGGATTATAGTAATCCATTAAAATTCGCGTGTAAAAATTAAATAAATAATCGTTGATATAATTAACCATTAATTTAAAAAGTAAAAACTTTTAATACACTAGTCTAACGATGAAGAATAGCATTGAATCTCAAATACATAAAGCTAAAGAAACATATCGTAACTCAAAGAAATATAGAATAAATTTTGTGTTCTATGGTTGTCTTGCAGTTTTGATAAACCAGTAATGAAATAATCGAAACTGTTTGAATTACTAAATAATGAACTAATAATGAACAACTGTTTGAATTACTTAATAGTCAAAGGAGGTCAGCATTCATTTGTACCGATTAAACTCCAGTCGCAAAGCCTCATTCAACAGACTTCCCGTATCGGTGCAAAGCACAATGTCACAGATAAAACAATAAAGCATGTAAATAGAAAATCATTTCAAATGATGTAATCATAATTGCTCGCATTCCACTAGCTCGTAGTATCGGTCACCACGAACAATATCGTGCAATTATCGACCGATACCCCGCTAATCTTATCAAAACCCTTCAACTTCGACGATGCTTCCCGCTATACACGGATGCCACAAAATCCATCTCCGTACCTTGCACGTCCTTCGAGTCCTCGTAGCCCCGAGGAAGGAGCTACCCGACCGCGTATTTCAATGCTACGCGCTCGACACCACCTCGACAATAACTACCAGGTCCACCAGGTCCAATTAAAGACCGCCTTTGCTTCTATCCTCCTAGGGAAATGACACGACTGCTGTCTCAGGCCTGCCCGCGTAACTGCCAAGGTGTGCGTGACCTCGCCCACGGCTACAGAGAGGCGACGGCGAACGCTGCGGTGATGGAGCCGCCGCGCGACAACGGCAGGCCGCTACTAAGCTTACAGGAGGTCGAGAGCAGGCTCGTCTTCGCGAGGTGCAAGCCCTTCGCCCTCGCCATCCCCGGCAGACAATGGTGAGGGATCATGACACGCCCGATATCCTTGCCCCCTACCCGGCTGTTCGCTCGTGAATTTAATCGACCGACAGGGCCGCGTTAAGCGAGGGCCAATGCCCTTAAATAATCGATTTGGATCTCTCGATCTCGTGCTAGTCCGTCATTTATAGCTAAACAGCGTTATTGTGTGTATGTGTGAAGCTGGCGTTAAGGTTGTTTGACTTTTATCGAAAAATCGGCGTATAAATTAAATAGTCGTTATGCTCTCAGAGTTATTTGAGCTTCACGAAAATTACCTTTCTTGCTGATTGCTTCGTTTATTAATTGATTGTACATTTAAGTGAAATTGAAGAATGAATTATTAGCCGATCGACAATTGAAAAAAGTGTCGGTAAAACATACTATTTAAATTGTACGTCGATTGGTGTATTATTGTACTGAGAATTGCATGAAGCGATGAATGGTAGAATAGTTTAAAAAACTAACGTAGTGAAAATACAATAATTATATACAATTGTAGAGTAGGTATTATATATATATATATATATATATATATATATATATATATATATATATAGTAGTATAAACTAGCTGACGTAAACTAATAGTTCCAAAAGTCGTCGCAAATAGTTTTTTTAGTTTTTTTTTTTTTTTTTAATCCATCGATATAACACACATATATGATAAATTATTAGAGTATATTTTGAAAGTTGTAGTTGAAAATTAATTAGTTGTATGCTGTCATAACATTAGCTAAAGACGAATAAAAGTACAAGTTGCCTAAACTTTGTAGACTTTTAATACTTCACTACTCAACTCCTCTTATATACTTAATACATTCATCGGTTTTCATTTTTCATTTTTCGCGCACATTAGAGTAAGTGAGATAAAGAGTATCGTTTTAGATTATTCAAGGCCAGTTAAAATTGAAAAATGAAAAAGCACGTGAATTCTAGGATAATGATTTTGACGAGCTAGCGCTAAAGAAATTTCAATGACTCGTAATGTCGATGGTGGGTTATTGAAAAAACGATACGGCCAGTTGAAGATATGATGGGAGCCGATAGAGATGTTGAGAAGGGTGAGAAGGACAGGACGGTGTCGGGTTGATTTCAGGCTGTTCGGCGGGGCGCTGGCGAAGGTCGAAGGTCGGGCTCGGGTCCAGGCGACGTGGGCCCTCCTGCTGAGCGACCTCCTCGTGTTCGCCCGTGTCTCACGCGACCGAGTCCTCTTCGTCACGGAGGAGCCCCTGCGGCTGGCCTGCATCGCCGAGGCCTGCTTCACGGTGCGCAAGCACCCGACGGAGTTCCGGCTGCAGGTGACGACTCAGGTAGGCCGACGATCGCCTCAACGACGGTTATCCCAAGGTCGCGGGTATCCAGCCCTTAGTTTTAATCGACCGTACGAGGTTGCCGCGCCATTATTATCGGGCAAGTTGAATAAAAATTTAGTCTGACCGTTGCGGCGGGCTGCAATCGCGTTTTTTAAAGGAAAATACCGCGAGTAAGGCTCGCTTTCGAGGATTTACGAGTACGCGAGAGATATTTTATAACGTGTCTTCGCACATCCTCAATTGCTGCTGAGGTTGATCATAGCAATTTTCCTTATTTGATTAGAATGATAATTAAAAGTACGGGACGAGGCCGTTTGGGTATTGTCAACTTCAACCACTCGTCAGACTAAAATTTTTTATTCATAACACAAAGTTTTGCGATATTATTACAGAATTATGCAAGAGAAAAAATATATAAGGATTATTTATATTTTCAATTATTCGAACTAAATACTATAATAAAAAGCAATGAATTAGAAAATTCTCATGTCGTTATTGGGTTTCTAAGAATTTGATAGACTTAACGATTTAAGGCAGAGAATAAACATTGTTTCAAAACTATGAACTGACGAGTTGAAAAATAAATTATATAATTCTTGTATGTCTTTTGGGCATTTATAAAGTTATAAACACAATTTTACACGAATGGAAACAAGCGCGCGCACGCGCCTATACGACAAAGTACTATTAACAAACTTTCATATACTCTATTATTAGAATATTATCTTAGATTATGCTTCTTGCCGCTTTAAATACTAAAGGAAGTATTAGGAATTACTGATTATATGTTGAAAATGATTAATGTTAGTTATTTGCATACGCTCGCATATCGAAGACAATTATTGCACTTGTATTGCGTATAAAAATTAATAAATTATTGTGAAAATGATAAATATTAAATTTAAACTGTTTCTAATTGAAATAAAAGTGTATTAAACTGTTTTCGATTAACTTAATGACAGATAAATGTATGCCATTTTATGGTGATCAATATATCTTTTTTTCTATAATGATGTTCTTGTTTTTTTTTTTTTTTGTAATTGGGTAATAAAATTTATAGCAATACTATATAACCATTATTTTTATCATTTTAAGCTGTGCGAATATCCTTATATATTCTAATATTATTTTTATAAATTGCTTTTTTCAAATTTATTCTTTAAAATAGAATAGTTTTTAAAATCATTGCTTATTTTAGAATCGTAATTTTAGGAATTGAAAACATTTGCAAAGTTTACTCTACTATTTATTTATATTATTTTAGGCGATAATGTCGTAATTTGAACTGTATAAAATAAAACTTATTATTTATGGATGATTGAAACCAAACGATGACAAAAGATACTTTTTATTCGAGTAAATCTTATGATGTTTTATGAAGTATGTAACATTTGATACGTAAGCTAATAGAAATAACAATTGACTTTTTTTTTCCAATTTACTGCATCTATTTTATAAATAGAGAAACAATTGAAAATAACACAATGGCATAAATACTTTATTATATGCAGTAAATAATATAATTTTTTTGTCTATACTGCTGAGGTAGTTTCAAAGATTGATTGAACAATGTACTGAGTTGAATTTAAAAAAAGGATACATTTATCTCTTGATAGACTCCCTTGCAATGTTTTGTAAAAAAAAGTTTTGAAATGTGAAAAAAAAACCTATATACTAGATGGAAAATACATAAATAACTTGATCTTGACAGAAAATATATTCCATTCAATTTATGGAAATGTTTTTTTTTTATCTTCCGAGGGTTCAAATTATAATGTAAAGATTCACGCGAATTTCAATGTTTTTTTTTTTTTTTTTTTTTTATCGTTTATTGTACTAAATCACAAAGGAATAAAAAAAATGACCGATTTACAAAAATTTATTGAATTATATTTATATTTCAGTTTCTTTTTTCAAGCAACTTTTTAGGTATTACGAAATTTAATTATATAGCTTTATATGCACAGTATTAAACTCACATAAAACATAATTTTGGCCGTTTTGAATTTATGATCTGATTCAAAATGATTTTGATTTTTAAACAGCGGGGAATTAGAATATACACTTTAAAAATAATGATGAAATAGTATACAGATTTTACATTGATTTATTAGTGACAATGTACGTTTGTAGTACTCTACAAGTTGGCATGTAGAATGACGTAAGAGGTAATGGGAAAAAATTGTTAAAGTTACTAATGAAAAATTACTAATAAAACTAGGAATGAAGCCATAATATAAATCATGTTCTTTCATATTATTTTATTATTTTTGTCTTCTAATAAGCTTTGTCTCAATGTATATGAAAATTGATACAATTATAAATATAGTTTTTACATGAATATGCAATATTAAAATATTTTTAAATGTTTGTGCTTAAAATAAAACAATATTTGTTTTTCGAAAATGCAGCTTGACGACGTTGAATAGTTGATATTCATATATCCATTCCCCGTGTCAATCGTACCCTATCTCTCTCTTCTCTCTTCTCTCTTCTCTCTCTCTCTCTCTTCTCTCTCTCTCTCTCTCTCTCTCTCTCTCTATCTATCTATCTATCTATCTATCTATCTATCTATCTATCTATCTATCTATCTATCTATCTATCTATCTATCTATCTATCTATCTATCTATCTATCTATCTATCTATCTATCTATCTATCTATCTCTCTTCGACTTCTTACTCTTCTTCTTCTCTACACTCTGCATTTCCCTTACTATTTTCCTCTAATATTTATAACCACATACGAGGATAATTAATTTACTTCATTGTTACATTAATATATGAATTAGATATTATCGTACGTATTAAGCTCACTGTATTATTGAATTATATCAAGTTATTAAATATACGAGATAATTTACGTGAATATTCCCATGCCCCATGACAATATATTGAAAATTGTAATTCATGTCCGCGGCTAAACACTAGATCTACTTTCTCTTCCAACTTTCTTATAGCAATTATCTTATTGAATTAATGAGTCGTAATACATTGTATGTGCGAAAGCTGCAGCAGATCAAGAATTCCATGCTCTCCGAATGCTCCTGTTTCCGCTCATTGGTCAACTGCACCGTATCCTATTCTGTAACGTTCTGCTGTAGCTTGAGCCAAGAGCCTTCCAACTCCATCGGCAAAATTCACGCCCAAGCCGCCCTGGAGAGTTTCGCCCTCGCAGCCCTTGTTCAACATTAAGTAAGACCTCTCAAGATCCTGTTTTGTCGCTTGCAGCCGAGCGCGCAGACCGGGAATTCCGTAGGCAGTACGACGGAGCTTGTCCAGTGCACGGGTATAGTAGGGGGTGGTGGTGGTGGAAGTGGCAGCGGCAGTGGCAGCGGTGGCGGCGGCGGCGGAGGCGGCGGCGGCGGCAGCAGCGGTGGTGGCGTTGGGGGCGGCTGCAGCCCTCATAGCAGACCGAGACGACGGGTTCTGATATTGCGGGCGCCCAGCCCCGAGCTCAAGGCCGTCTGGCACAACCTTCTGCAACGACAAATGTAAATCGCCAAGAAGGAGACTTATACGCATCTCCTCGTTCTTGCATCTGCAGTATCAGTTTAATGCACATGCATTTTACACATGGAGCAACCGCTTTTTCTCGTCGTGCGTTTGCCTCGCACACGTATCACTAATCCGGCCGCTTAGGCAATCTCGTCTCACTCGTTGTTGCATTAAGATGTGCACCTTTTCCAATGCTAACTGCTCGATTCGAGTTGTCGACTTAACAGTGACTAATCGTATTGAGTTTAATTATAAGAAATACCGATCGATCTTGCTTATTATGACTTGATGCACAAATGCTGGACAGTGTGGGCATGTTTCAACTCTACTCTCATCGAAATCGATCGAGGCATTTGTATTGGACGACGCCTTCCGGGCGAAACGCGTGCAATCAAATAACTTTTCTACCGTAAAGTTGAAGCATCGAATGAGCCTTGAAATAACGTTTAAAAACATATTATTTTGTTTGTTTGTTTGTTTGTTTGTTTGTTTGTGTGCGTGTGCGCGCGTGTGTTAGTTTCGTAGAATATAACAATGCATTTTGTAGTGTTAAGATTATTAGTTTGGAGCACGTTGATAATTACAATGAATTTAACTAGTATTTATTTATTCAAATATATAGCAATTGTTATGCATAATATAACTTTTTAATTTATAAGATGTGTACGAGGGTGTACACCGTGTGTGTCTGTGTACGCGTAAGTTTGTCTTTAGTGTAGAGCAATATTACTTTAAACCAATGCATGATTTTATTACTTTTTTCTATTCGTTTTTTCCCTTTTTTCTTTCTTTTTTTTTTTTTTTTTTTTTTTTTTTTATCAAGAGTAGACCATGATATTTAAACATATTACATATTAAATTCCTAAATACATAATTGCCACAATAATTTAACGATATGAATAGAGTTTGTCTAAGATGAAAAGTATTGAATGTTTCAACGATGTAACGCGTAATGAAAATAATGAGCAGACTGAAGTAGTTTTTTCATCATAAATAGAATGGCCGGAAAATATAAAATAAAAAAATAAAATTAATAGTTCTCGATAGCACGTACACGAACATTGAAAAATTGACTTTTTACCTTCAGCACGCACTATTTTTCCTTAGAAGCATAAATTAAAGTGCATAATGAAAGGCAGCGTTGTGATTTTCATCTTTCAATAGCCATCAAACTATTGACACTCCAATACCAAACTTTTACGCGAATTGTTATGAAAACCAAGAGAAACCAAAACAAATACAAAAAAAAAAAACAAATAAAAAAAGGAAAAAAAAAAGTACAAGACTGACTAAAATGTTCTTTAAAATGTAAAGTAAATGTAAAAAATGAGAAAGTAGAAAAATCGCCAGGACTCCGGTAAGTCGAGCAGCAATCTAGCGGCTGCGGCGATTCTTTGCAATTGTCAGCGCACGCATTATTGGAGGTCTAGCGAGTCCGCGCCTAATCATCTAATTTTGCGACAATTTAGCGTCAGCAACGCACGCAAGGATGCCGAGCACGAGCGCACGTTATTTAATTGGCCGAAAGCTTGAATGTCATGGCTGAGCTAACGGAGCATGCCAGCAGTTGCTAACGTAGAAAAAACAAATATAAAAGAAAGAAAAAAAAAGAAAAACGAAAAGAAAAGCAGTGCCAGCCGTGAACAAAGCGATACAAACGGCTGGAATTTCCCACCAGAAATCTGGTCTATTACAGAATATACGTGAATACGATTTCCGGCAATGGCGAAGACGCGATACCGGGTATCGACAGTCCCGACGACGAGGAGAGTCCGACCATCCTGACCAATCATCTAGGCAAGCGTGACGCGCAGCACGAAATCGTCGACAGTCCCGAGGTACGTTTGTCACTACTCGTCCACTCATCGTCACGATTGTTGGATGAATATTTTGCAATCTATGCTTTGGTTAGTTGGGAAGTGCGAGGTTTCGGGCCCCATTGAAGGTACTCGCTTGCTGTTTATTAACATCGAGTTCTCATTCCATTAGAATCTCGCTACCCACGTCACGTAGGTGAAAGAGACAACGCTTTATTTAAGAAGATTTCGCGCAATTCCACCCCAATAATTCTTTACAACACCCTTTACCCACCCCCACTCACAATTCGCACGATGCAAGAATTTTTTAATTCTTTACTAATGTAAAATATATAAGATCCTTACGGGAAAACGTTTTCAGTGCTATTTGATTAACTTTTTCTCAAGCTGTCGATTAACTGTCGATCGTTTTATTAAATTCGTACGACTAAATTTACATTGTATTGATTAAAATTCAATAAATATTTTATCGATTCATCTTTTCAAATTCCGTCTGACAAATAATCTTTAAATGAAAAGCCTCAAGAAATTTGATAACCTTCATTTGACTGTAGTTGCAAAGCATTCGACAAGTAATACTTTGACAAAATATTTTATCGTAATGAAAATTTGATGCTTTATCTTAGCATATATATATATATATATATATATAACATTGCACTATAACAATATGTCATAATGAACCAGAGCTATTATGATTTTACAATTAAATTCTTCCATTACAAGAAAATTGCTCATAAATTTAAAAGTGCTTCAGCTTTTTAATAGAGCGAGATAGAGTCTAAGAAATTTTAAATTACCTATGGAAAGAATTTAAAACTGTTATTAAATTTAATTGCAATTTTACGTACACATATAAGCCGATTCAGGCATAAACAATACAAAGCGTAATATCGAAAAAAAAAAAAATTAAATTAAATTTACATTAAATTAAATTAATATTTTCAATTTCTTTTTATGACTTATTTTTCCATACCAACTTAAAAGTTTCACAATAATAATTTATCGAGATATTTCCGCGTAACGATACAAGACTCTGTTCGTGTAGTGGTCTTCAATCGAAATTATTATTTGTATTTATATACCCAGGTAATTAAGCTAAATGAAAATTCATTGATTTATAAAATCCTACGGTCAATAACATTTTATATAATCACAATTACTAAACTTGATCAAAGAAAATTTCATATTTTGCTTAAGGCTCGTCAAAGCACCAAACAATAATTATTGTGATAAAATAGTAGCGCGAAGATCGCAGTATTGATACCGCATTGAAATACATAGTAAGAGAAACAGAATCGAGCTGCTCAACATTGAAAGCGTAACGCCATTTAAAAAATCATCCCACTGCTCAGCATTGTAGATCGACGCAGCAACTGCAAGTGGATAAAGGCAGGTCGGGCGAGAGTTTGGACTCGATGCTGGAGAGGTCTAATCAGCAGCAGGACAATCATTTGGCTCAGTGGGTGCGCAATTCGCATCAAATACCACCCCCGGATCACGAAGTGCCCATCGAGGAATGGACACCGGAGGAACTCGCCGCCAGAACCCCTAAAGAAACTGCAGCTTGCAATGTATCCGAAGGTCAGTCAATTATCTTTGGCTCTGTGGCCGTTATTAAGTCGGTCTCGCAGTCCCCGGCTCGTTCGAATTCAAATGAACGCCTAGTGATTTGACTTTACGATTACTTTCGCGCTCTTTATCAATCTAATTAGATTACAGTCATTAAACGATGGCGGTGAGTGGGCTCGGTATTGAACAATTTATTACGATAAGTTTTAATTATTTTACGCGTGGACGGGATCTTTAATTGATCCAATGGTTTAATATCCGAATATATATATATATATATATATATTATTGCCTTCTGGATTCTATCTGCCTTTTTCGGTGATTTGTTTAAAATGCTTTTTTTCGCTCTTCAATGCAATCCGGCATTCACGATTATTTGTGACTTTTGCATTGTCTATAAAATTATCAAAAATATCGTATTGCGAACGACTGTCCACGATGACGCATATTTCAACTACATGCCGTCATGTTATGAAATCACGATCGAACCTATCCCATCTGGATGTAGCGTAATGAACAAATGGCACTTTCGATGCTCTTAAACGTTTAGAAAATTTTACCGTTCATTATTCCGCCGGTAACTTGCAGCTTGTAACGAAATTTTGAAGAATGCGTAAATATAAGGGACCACGGGAGGAGCGAATAATAATTATATAACAGACGTAAAGACGATTAGTGTTAAATGGATTTTTGTTTAATGAAATTCATATTGAAAAATGATTGGTAATCTAGTTATTAGTCTTGTATCATTAAATATAATTACATTGGGAATGGGAAAAATCTTACGTGGCACTCTACGCTCATGCTATACTTAGATAAAGTAATTTAATAAAGTAATTTAGGACTAAAAAGTTAAAAACTTTCATATTAAAGTCGATACGTAATATATTAATATAGTTGAAACGATAAACGTGTCATTTGACCCGAGAGACCTAAATTCAATAAATTTAATTTAATCGCGTGATAATTCGTTGAATGTTATTGAGTAGCAAGGCCTTTCCATTTATAATTTATGACTATATTTTAGTGGTAGAAGAAAATACATTGGTGACTTCGGACGTGGAGCAACACAGCACCGCATCCAGCGCTAGTTTAAGCACCGTCAAGTCCAATAGTTTAACGCAAAAGAAGAACGGCAGCATCGTATCATCCAAGGACACGGCGTCAAGCTCAATGAACATATGCAGAAAGTGTCACAGGTATTACATTCACGTCCTTACAAATCCCTTTCCGAGCTCTTCTTAACCAAACCATCCAATCGTTTTATTTATTAATTTATTTATTTAATTATTATTATTATTTTTTTTTTTTTTTACGACACTCTTCTTTAACATCGCCAGTCATTCGTAAGGAATTGATAATACAATTGCATCGATTCAATCGATCGTCATTCTTCGCGCGATTCACGAAACTAGCGATTAAATTAGGGCCCCCCCCCCCCCTCCACCACCGCCACCACCACCACCATCACGATCGATGATCCATTACTCATAAACTGCAATAGATTGCTAGTGTATTATATGATCGCGCGCGCCGTTTACCTTGAACTTTGCTCACGTATACGAAAATTACGGCAACTCATTCCGCTAGAGGGATGAGACGCGCATATCCTACGCGACTCGATTGTTCCTATTAAAATACCGAAACAGAACGAGACAGCACACGTGGACGGACCGACGATCGGCGACCGACGACCGACGACCGACGATCGATGACCGACGATACATTCGAATTGATAAGAGCATGTGTGCTTTATGGAAACGTAGTAATATGCGCCGCAGGTCTGGCTGTCCGACGCCGCTATCGCCGCCGCCGCCGCCGCCGCCGCCGCCACCACTACCGCCCTCACTGGTGCGCGACCCATTCGCACCTCTGCCCCCGAAGATCGCGGTATTGCCGCCCACCCCGGATCTTTGCTCGAAGCACAGGCCGCGCAACAGCCTCTACGACAGCCCGAGTCGATGCTTCTCCGCGGACGGCAACACCGAGGACGGTAGTGAGGACGACCTAGAATGCGACGTCGACCCACCTTACAGGTCCTCCCATCTTCTTTCAAAGGCGTTTGCACATTATCTAGCTTTCTGAATGTTGCGACTGTGACATTGTGGTATCGAGGTGCAAGGAGCTAGCATCCTTGGGATTAATGCTTCGTAGCTATCTCGTAGCTTTAGAGACGGTGGAGCTGGTAATTATGCTGCACGAAAATCCATTGCAAACTGACGATTAGTCGTCGATTTAATACAGGACAGCGAGTTGTCGATAGAGCATAAAATTTTTCAATAATCCTGTGAAAGTAATGTGCATGCAGGTATTAGGTGCTTCCGGTGATGGCTGAAAAAAACATTTAATCTCACGGGCTAAAGGGAATGGGGCAGTTAATGTAAGCTAGAGCTGCGTGCTTCGCAACCCAATAGACATTATATTTATACTTGCCACACTTAGTTACGAATCCATAAACTGCGACGTCATTACAGCGTCCCAATGAGACTAAAGTACGAGAGCAAAAGGTCTTATGTAGATACGATTGCCGCTTAAATTGCATGATATTGCATAAAGAGAATATTGTCTCGGTGCCCGCTTCTAATAGCAATGTGCCTTTGTTATCGGGGCTATCGCGTAATGGCAACGCCAAGCCTTCGTATCCCGTACTCGAATAAGTTTGAATGAAACGGCGCGCAGAGCCCTGAGGAGATTCGGGACGATGAGCAGTCTCGACCAGGATGACGAGCTGGACGAGCAAACTGTGGCGGAGGAGGAGACGGGACACGAGGTCGAGTCGCCGCCGGCCTCGGGTCTACGGGCGTGGACACTGCGCGCGGGAAGCTACGTCGTCAGCAAAATGTCGATACTCGAGCACTTCGGGGAGGGTTGCCTCCTGCAACCGCCCGCCCCGCCCGAGCGCACCGAATCCTCGCTCGATCCCTGCAGCAACGCCGACGAGGAGGGCACGACGTCGGGCGGCACCTCCGGCGATGACATCTGGGGCACGCCGACCTCCGGCGGCCCCGACGACGAGAGCTTCGCCGGCAGTCCGGTAAGTATCCCGTCGCAGTACGGCCGTTGCGATGACCTTGTCACTGCGACGCTGCTCTTACTCGCCTTCGCTTTCTATCGCAACGTAAACGAGACTCTACTTGGCCACGGCTGGCACGTCCGAACGAGCCGTGAAACAATTCTGTGTAATTACTTTCCTCGCTTTGTATTGCCACGCTATATTATCAATGCCAGCACTCGTTGTATCTATCCTTGCTTCTGGAGTTAATTATCATCCATCGGATACGTGTTGGATAGCGCGGAGTACATACTTTAACACGACCTCGCCTCTAAATATTTTTGTTCCCTTTTCGGCGCTGCATAATATTTTTATTCTTCTTTTCTTTTATTTTTTTTTTTCTTTTTTTCTGTTTTGTTTTTTGTTTTTACGAGCGTTCTCTAAATAATAAAAGCCCTAGGAGCTCGCGAGAAAACGAGCAAGGAATAATCGTTTATTGCTACGGCTTAACATTTGTCGACGGCGCATTATCGATATAGTGTTCTCCGATAAATATTTATTGCCTCGTGTAACCCAATATAAAAGCCAATGACTACGATTAATAATCACTCGGTACGCTCTTCTCGTCTAGGATAATATGGAGAGCATATGTAGACGATTGAAGGACAATTGGAAACTTCATTTATCATATAAAAAAATTAATCAAAATTGATATTATCCCTTATCGTGAGCAACGCCCAAGAGGCTATGGCAAAATAATAATTAAAAAAAAAAAAAAAAAAAAAAAAAGGTTGAATTTGTAAATTAAGCTATTATCATGGATTCTAAAGCAGAAAATACATTATCATTAAAATAAAATTTAACATAATAAACTTTTGCGGTAATATACTTTGTATTAATAAGAGAATGAATGTATATTGTACATTCAAAAAGTTCTAATCGTCCACTGTACGTTTTAACTTTTTTTTTTTTTTTTTTTTAATCGCGATAATATGTATGCTCCTAATAATATTTTAACATTGAATGATTGTTCCTTTTAAATTGTTGGTTATTAAAAACTTGTTGTATTGTAAGCTATTTAGATATTTTACAACTATTGTACTAATTTTGTAATTATTTTTTAAGTGCTTTAATGTCAACTACGTATTTACATGTTCAACTCATTCATAAATATTTGACTACAATATTTCCTAAAATAATTTCATTGAACTAATAAATTTTTAACGCTTTTTGTTTTTTGTTTATTAATAAAAACTGGAATATATAATAACGAGTCACGTTTAGCTGTGAGATATTATAATTTACTTCGATTTACTTAAATTTCACCAACTACTATGAATTTGTACAATATTATTAAATATTACCAATTATTGTAATATTTTAAAGGTTGTGACATTTAACTTAATTTGACAAAGGCTGCGAATTATATAACATTTCATGAAATATCTCTTCTTTTTTTCTTTTTTTTTTCTTTTTTTTTCTTTTTTTTTTTTTTTTTGCTTATCTAAATGATATTTATTAATGTAATAATGTTTGTAAAACGTGAAATTATTTACTTACTTCGTTATGTTAAATTATTTCCCTACGAAGCATGATTTCTTCCAATGCAAATTAAAGTATTTGTGCGAACCAGTACGTAAAGTAAACTAAACTGCAATATCATCAGCCGTCTATTTTAAGGTTTAAATTAGGTTAATGCATATATGCCATTAAAAAAAAATTATGCATCGCTTGTATGTATTTAGATTATCTTGGTTTAGTTACTTTTGAAAGATAAGTTTCATGCAATTTTTGGTAAGCTTTTGTGATATATTGAATGCGCACTTAATAATATTAATAAACATTAGAGAGCAAATAATTTTTTTGAAATATGTCGATATGTGTATCCAAGAAATTGTACATCACATTTTAATTTGCATATGTATTGCTTAAGCTAAAGCCACTGAATAAGATTAACAATTGAACAATGATTTTATACTTTATCCTGATATATTTTCTTATAAAATATGACATTTTCTAGCTTATGAATAGGCCATTAGATTGATAATAATGAATAATGCCGAGTACGTAGATAAATAGTAATATAAATTTTTTTTATTATAAAAATTTTGTTATTAATAATTTGTATAAATATAAATTAAATTGTATCTTGTATTTTTTTTTTATTTTTGTTTTTTTTTTTTTTTTTTTTTTTTTTTTTTTTTTTTTTTTTTTTTTTTTTTTTTTTTTTTTTGTATAATCAGCTATTTTATTCGAAAATGTAGGTAATATTTGTCATTCTCTTACCTTCGTGTATTAGGATTAGTTTTTTTTTTCTTTTTTTTCTATTTTTTTTTATTTTTTGTTTTTTTTTTTTTTTTTTTTTTTTTTTTTTTTTTTTTGTATAATCAGCTATTTTATTCGAAAATGTAGGTAATATTTGTCATTCTCTTACCTTCGTGTATTAGGATTAGTTTTTTTTTTTCTTTTTTTTCTATTTTTTTTTTTTGTCAAACAAATTGATTTAAAGAGAAATTAAATGAAAATGTTATTGCACCAATGGAACATTTATTACATTTGATATGAGAGACAAAGAGCGTAAAGTATCATTGAGATTACTATCGAGTGGATTATTCTGTATCGTCTGTACTTTTTCAAAATAAAGCATACGCGTGATATAACATCCAGCTGTCTTATTTTAAATTTAAATTTAAAAAAAAAAATACAATAAATATATGAATATCCTTTAGAATAGATATTAGTTCAATATACTCTATCGGAATTTTCATAATTCATAATTCTTAGTTAAGCTTTACCATTGGTGAATGGGGAATTACAATATATAGACCACATATAACTTAATTATCTTTAAACGGATCTAATCTGCTAATTGCATAATTTTGTCATTATTACTTATAAATTTATGAAAAATTGTAATAATTTTCTAATTCTAACTCGATGTATTGGCAATAAATAATGTAAATAAATAACGACGACTTGCAAAAGTATGGTTTAAATGTAATATAATAAATAATCGCAATTGAATAATTTTTCGTAAACCGCACAAAACGCCTAATAAACATTTCGCCTTATGCTGTTAAAAATAAGGAAAAAGTCGACACGATTTTCTAACCCTCGTGGGATTTTACTATTCCGGGGCGTGACAACATATTTATCTCTACGAACGACTGGCGTCGTTTGTGCTGCTGAATGACTTGCCGACTATTTCCTTATTGCGTAGTTTATACCGTAAATTATTTTACACGTATGGAATAGTTTGGACGCCAATTTTTCAGCCGAACTCTATTGTTTTGTAAAAACTATCAGATGGCATGTTTTTCAATTCTTTCTTTATACACAAAATGTACGTTTCAATGCCAATAATTTGGATGAAAAATATTATTATTATTATTATTATTTGATCGATTTATTGTTAAATTATTAGCTTAAATACTGCTGCTAATAATTGCTTAATGTGAGTTTTGTGAGAATAATGTTCCACTATTGAAAAAAATTACCGTCACTTCTAATGTCGTCTTCTGAAATAAATGTTAAATTGTTTATTAGATTCTCATAACGGCAACATGGCTGTTATACTCATTACACTGATAAATTATCTGACACACGATCTCTTGTATTATTGCTTTTGGATGTATCGGAGGATTGTCTGTAAGATGCAATGTTTTAGTATTGTTTGCTTTAGTATTGTTGTTTTTCATAAAAGTGCGAAATTTCGCATACTCGCATCTAGTACTCTTAACGCCACAATTATTTGCATCGAGATATGAGCATTTGAAATGTAAAGTATTCGAATGTTTCTAGCGCTAGTAATACAAAAATTTTCCACACATGTGCGACGATCAATCAAATTTCACCACACACATTCTAATACGCTGCCTTTAAAAACGTTTTGTGTTATTTGAAATTCTCACGCTGCTCATGATTGTCAAAAAAAATTTTTTTAAACTACATACTCTGACATGAAACTAATAACTTATCAGATAAGGTATGTTAAATAACGTTTAATATTATTCCTAAAAATTCATTACCGGAACATTATTCTGTGAATAATTGGTATTTACACGAGGGGGGGGGGTGTCTTAATGATTCCGAGGATATGAAATATTTCCCAATATGTTCACGAATGATATCTTATCGCTCGATGCCTCGTTGACTCGAATTTCCCCAGCAGCATTAATTCCTCGGACGGGAATTTACAGAATATATTCCATTCGATGCTAATCTCGCGCCGCACAACACACACTTCACGCACACCTCGCGTTCAATTAAATAAGTACATAATAGCGATATAAGCCTCGCACGCTACTGCATGATGAACAACGCTTGCCCTCTGTTTGCTAAGAGTGACTGGTCCGAGTGTGTGCCCTGACTTCCCTAGCCGCCGTCGAACAACGGTACCACCAACGGCTCCGGCTGCCCAACCTACGAGGACGATCAGGAACAGGCAGAATCCGAGGGCGAGAGCGAGGAATGCACAGGTCTTCCCGAGCTAAGCATGGAACACCTCCTCGGGGGCTCGATCCCCGTCGGCAGCTCCTGCGGCATGGGACCGCTCCGCTCGTTTCTCGGACGGCGGCGCCTCGAGCCACTGCCCGAGGAAGAGGATTGCATCTCAGTTGGTAGCGGCGTCGCGGAGTCACAGCGCCAGGTCGGCTGGTGGTGACATCGGTTTCCCACCGCGGGCACCACGGCTTTCGGCCGCGAGGACGAGGAGTTCCGGCGCAAGATCCTCGACCTGCATCGCAAGCTCTCGAACGTGGACGAGGAGACGGCGGCCACGAGAGGCGAGCTACGCCAGTCGGCGATCGGATCACGGGGTCTGAGGGATCTCGAGCTGCTGAGGAGGAGAGCCGACGGCCCGGGATCCGGGGAGGAATCGCCGGCGCCGAGGAGGAAGAGGGTCGAGTTCGAGGACGCGAAACTGCGTGACACCTCGTCCGAGTCGAGTTTCCTCGATAAGCTGCGGGCGCGAAAGCGCGGCATCAAACTCCTGAGTTTCCTAGGCTCGAGGAGTCAAGAGGTCGGGCGGGCCCGGGAGGAGCGAGCCGCGAGGCTCCTGAAAATCTACGGCTCGGAAAAGAGCGAAACGACGTCTTTACCATCGTCGCCGCCCCCCTCAAAGTCCGTGCCCAACACCATTGCCATTCATCACAGGTCCAGGGACCGCCGATTCTGGAAGCTGAGGAACCGGAGGCGCTCGAGTTCGACTTGAGTCCTGGTCACGCTTAGCCTTGGCTATTGCAAATTTCTATATTCTGGCCACGGATGAGCGCGTCTTGGGTTGAGCGGGAGAGGGGGCGATTGTGTTTGTGTGGGTTGGGGGGGGGGGGATTCAGGATTTCCCAATGACGCCATTCCGACGAGGAAAGTACGTTTAATTAGCTGCGTAAAATTGAGTATGTTATGTGTCTTTCACTTCCTCGGACAGCGCTCGCTGTAAATCTGCAATTCGACGTGATGAATTATTTTTAGACGTAAGGAGAGAGTAGATATAATTGTTTAAAAAAAGTAGAGGTGTAAGCTAAAAACAAGAATGCCTTGATAAAGTTTGTTATTGTTGTATGAAAAATACACTACTTTGCTCGTAGGTTTGTAGATAAACGAGATCATCTCGGACTTTAAAGGACTTTTATAAAAATGAATTACAATATTTTTTCGATAGGGTGGTTTATATAATTTATAATATGAAATCGATATGGTTATATTACTGATAATCGAGGATAATAAATAATCATTACTTGCTTATCGCATTAAATGTAACTATAATTTGAGTATCCTATGTCCTTATGTCCTAAAAATGAAGAGCTACAATGAAGACTCTAGAACCGAAAAATTTTAATCGACCGTTAAAATTTTTTTTATAAAATGGAACGAGCCAATAATTGCCCATTAATGTGAAAGATCTTATTTTGCAAAAATTCGGGGATAAAAAAAATTTTTTTCGACATCCTTTAGAGAATTTTATCTCTGAGATTTCAACTGGATAAATATAATATAGCGTAGTCCTTTCAACTATGTAATACACGAATTAAACTGCAGTTGTGAATCTTAAAATTTTCCTAATATATATTATTAATTTATAAATACTCTAACTTATTAGCTTGTTCAAAATTTCTACATACAACAATTATAATAAAATTTAAAAAATTATTTTTCATCAGATTATATCTATAAATATGTCTTTCATGCTTCTTAAAACACTATTTAAATATATAATTTAATATGTTTAAATTATGTAAATAATAAATAGCTTATAAAAGGCAAAATACCAATTCAACACGTCCAAACTTTAGTGTTGTAATGCTCCAGCTCAACGATTAAACAATTGCTAATTAATGGAAAATCAGTTTGCAAGAAAAGTAGTTGATTTAATGAAATTTACCATTACAATATTGTCAATTTCATTAATTTACACAGCTCCTCCAGTAATAATATCAAGTAATCATCTCAATCATAATAGATGCCCTGTTTTCTCTATGAAAAAAGTATCAAATTCAACTAAAATTATATACTTATTGTTAGAAAGTTGTTCAATCTTTGAAAGAGAAAAGACTATTATTAAATTATATCGTTCAAAATAATTTTGCATTTAACGTTGCAAATCTAAGAAATAAATACATAATTTTACGATTTTAATAAAATTCACTTTTATAACTTTTTTTACAAATTAAATATTTAACTTTCTTTCAACTTTTTACTGGAAAAACTATTATTTTTCTTCGCTCATTCCATATGAAGTGAACTTCAACTAATAAGTTTTATTGCTAAGTACAAACGATAAATTATTCATATTCTAAGATTCTGTTTAAACTTTTCAGTAAATTTATATATATTTTCCTAATTATATGGCGAATAAACCAATAATAATAAAGGTAAGTAGTCAACATTCGATTCTTTTACATCCTCACTCACTTACCCTATCCAATCTATTGGATTATAAACACTAACCGGCATCATATTACGTTTGATACTACATGCACATTGCTTCCAAAAGTGGACTGAAGAGAAAATGGTAATAAAAAAAGACGATAGTGTGAACAATTAAGCGACGTGTGAAAATGCTGAAAACGAGAGATCGACAAGCAAATGAAGAGTCGGGGGACTAGAACAAGTATGTTATGATTCTGCTTGTCGGATGTGCCGAAAAGACGAGAAGCCAAGGTCGGCAGATGCAGGGCCGATCGGTTTCAAAGGCGCATGCGCCCTCCGAGCGATCCTTAAAACAACGAGGCGAGGCAAAAGCCGCGCGAACGCGACGAAATGAGGGTGAAAGGCCGCGAGGACCAATGGACGAAATCGAGTGGCGCGTGTCCCCAGCCGAGCCGGAAAACCCGCCACGATCGAGCCGGTGACAGGGGTGGAAAATTCTGAGGGAGGGCGCTGGCGCGTGTCGCCAATGCGCATCCTCGAAGGTCCATACAGTCCGTTTGGAGAATCGCACCCCCGAATTTCACGCCCAATTTGAGGCTGGAAGCTGCACCAAATCGGCCTAACGGAATATAAAGGCTTTGGGACTATCGTTGCGACTTTCCATTTTACGCAAAGTCGCCTCATCAATACGCTGCCACGACATTTTCCGTCTCACTAAAGTTCACGTCTTTGTGAAATTCGACGACGTTCGCTATCGGGCGATCTGGATGTGCCGATTATTGCCAATTATTAGGAGTGCCAAGGCAGCGGCTGGCGAACGGTGAATTTAATTTAAGGATAAAATCATAGGGCACAGCTCGGAAACTGTACGCCTGCGCCCCACCCCCATCTAGTTTCGAAAATGCCCGCGAGATGGTCACGTCGTTGGCCGTCGCTTCGTCGGTGACGACATTGCGGAAAACGACGCCATCGTCCGTCTCAGTCGTCGCACTTTTCCACTGGATCTCTTACGCATTGGATGTGGGTGGGTCGATTTCTAGTCCGCGGATAATATTTTTTCAGCTGAGTCGCCGAGGCACGCTGGCATCCCCTTTTAGACTTCCTTCTTCTAATGGTCGGAGGAAGACGGAGCCTTGAAGTTCGCCTTGCAAGCAGTTCACTTCGAAGAGCCCGAAGGTCGCGGTGATCGAACACCACGTAGATCGCGTCAGATGCCGGCATCGAAGAAATTACTTTAGTCTTTAGCCAATGACTTTTAAAGTCTTGCTTAGGCGAGTTTTACGCCTCGGCTGCTTTAGACAACGGCTACGCGTACTTTTTTTACGTTCTTACGTAGAGATAAGCAGAGCCTTAATAAAACAACCTAATGAGAACCTAGAAAGAAAAAAAATTAAAAAGGAGAAGAAAGTAAGTCGCGCGTTGGCGCTAGAAATTGACGATAATTATTAGAGTAAATAAAGTTATCGTATCGGGGAACGAACTGGAGAAAGAAAGTACGCTAAGCGATTTGAATCACCTCCCCTCGTCGCCTTTCTCTCTCGTATTACGCGTACATCGCGATATCGATTCGACTATCGAATGGTACTCGCGAATCGAGTTAGAGGGGGGGGGGGTGTTGTTGTTTGGGCGAGGGGATGGCGGGAGGGGGGGGGGGGGGATTCGTAGATCGGGGGTATTTTTTTTTTTTTTTTTTTTTTTTTTTTTTTTTTTTTGACTCTAATCGTTCGCTTTAGTTATTGTATCGTCGATGAAGCATCGACGCACTCGCTCGGCTTTAATTGCCGACGGCCACATTTGGCGGCGAGCAATTTTTCTCTTTACCTCCGCGCACTTTATTGTAGTATCGCCGCACAAGTGCTTCGACCATAAGGTCCTGTTGAAAAAAAGAGCAGTGATAGACTGCTCGTGCGAATACCTCCCCCTCGCCCCTACCCGGAAACCCTATTATATTTTGCGTATGCTCCGTTGTTTTGTAAGGAGCGATCGATCGATGAAGTTTCGATATTTCCCGCTTCCCGGTGTTTGCGGCACCGAATCCTCCAAGTTGACGGCTGTGATCCAGTTGTAAATTTCAATGAATTTACTTGCTATTCAATTACCGTTGTACTTTCTGCTCGACTAATCGTAAAGTGGCATCTTCGTCTAGATTGAATGAAAAAAAAAAATCGCGGCTAAGGAAGGTAATACAATATAGTTCATAGTTGGCACGGAAGTGGAGATTTTCGATGCGTGCGAGGTTTTCACCCTCCATTCGACCCTCCGAGAGTTCGCGGTGAATTTGTAAATTGCCGATAGTGTTGCCGATAAGCGTGATAGGAGCGAAGCGAGTGAATTTCAATTGCGCGTTCGTTCCTCTTTCAGTCGAAATTTCGTTATTATTTCATTTAAATGAGCTTGAATGACTGCCTGCGCAAATTACATGGGCCAGCAGTATTGCACGGAAATTTCACACAAATACACACGCGCGCGCGCATAATTTATTTCTAATTACGCCGAGGTTGCCGGAACTAGACAAAATTAAAATTACTTTTTTTTTTCTTACATGAAAATTGTAGTTTAATTAAAAAAGAGTGATTTTTAACGTTAAAATATCGACTGTATAAGCGTGTGTATTTTATTTTTATAATTTTTTCAAGTTTGCTTGATCGCGAAAGCGCTCGCTCTGTACATTTCAAGAACAGAGATTAAAATAAGATGGTAAGAAGTTCTACAATTGAGCACGGAGATATAATTATAATATTCACTTGGCACATTGTAAGGAGGCATGGACGTGTGTCGACCTTGAGTGACAGTTTCATCGGTACTTTAATTACTTTTTTCTCTATTTATATTGAGCCAATTGTATGACACAGTTTTTGTACACACAAGTGGTTTCCTGTTGAGTCACTGGCCGTATTCACAATTTAACTGTAGCATAATTTTTTTTTAATGCAGTGATGTGCATAATCATCATGAAAGAATGATGATGTTATATGTTACCGGAGCGATGCACAAGAAATCGTCATATAAGTCATAATAGTCATGAAAGTGTTTCAAATATTTAGAAGTCACAATCGAATACTTATGGAAATATAAATTTTTATAATAAGTAAAATATTTTTAAATTTTATTATACATACAAACAAATTAGTTCCATTTATAGCTCTAAATATTTTTGTGCAAAATATCGACTTGAGCAAGCACAATTTTATTAGATATTATGATTTAAAAAACTATATATGATGCATTACTGAAACCTGAAAATCACATGTTTTATTACCTTATAATATAAAATATATTTTTATTTTTCTATGAGAAATTGGGACATAATTAACTATTAAGCATTAAATATTAAGAGAAATTTTTAATATTTTTCATTAATTTAATTTGTTATAAAGAAATCACATATATATATATA